TATATATATATAACCACTTTAAATTATTTATTTATATTTAATTTATTATTATACAGTAGGTGTCCTGTTCAATTTATATATTTACTTAAATGCTTCTCTCTTTTAAACACATTCTTAAGGTATGTTTATTTTGCCCACTTACGTATTTGTGAAGCTAATTTGGAGAAATTTATGTCTGTGAATAAAGGTGAGACCCTTTTTCATAAACTACTCAATTATTTATACCTTTTTATACAGTTGTATAATTTTTCCATTGTAACTGCTTATATTAACATATTGCAAAAAAAGAGAATAATTTTGCAAACAAAAAAACATTTCAAATTCATGTCTTTAGAAAGATGTAAGTCGAAACTTAAGTTAAATAAAATCGAGTTAGCTTGGAAATTTGGTGAATCGATAATTTTTGGTGGCATAAGAAAACAAGATTAAGCTTTCAAAAAATGAAAACAGAAGATATGTTGCTTGAGTGTACTTTTACTTAATGAAAATGCAAGGGCTAAATGTTTTCAATCTCCGATGAGTCAGAAAATATTATTTTCATTACTAAATGATAGGACGTGAATTATTTATTTTTTGTACATAATCGCCGGAGCGATTAAGACATTTGTCATATTGTCACCAGATTTTTATAGATGTTTTCCGTCAATAAGGCTAAGTCTAACGCTTCTTTAACACATATGGTTTTCTAACGGTAACCGTGTCGTACCCGTGCCGTAATTTTATTTGCTTTGCGTTCACACGGCACAAGGTTTTTCACTTCGGGTTTAGTTTTATTTTGGTACGTGTTGTTAATAATGATAAAGTATAATCGCAGCAAACACGAAAAACAAGAAGATTTTGGATTCATTCACTACTTGAAAACAGGTAATTGTTGAATCCTATAAATTTCCCTCCAATCCTGTAATCCCTTGTTTATATTTTTATCCCATAACACTGGTCGCTGTTCAACATGTGTAATTAGCAACTCATTATCTACTTCAATAACCATTATTTCGATATACTATATAATTTCTTTTGTCTAACTGCACTATTCAGAGAGAAAAACGATTCTGAATACAATCTTTGCCGTGTGAACACACGGTATGTGTGTATACTTCTATACACTTGCTTGTCTCACTGTTGCCGTACACGGCTCCGGTGTTGTTCGTGTACGACTCCGGTAACAAACCGTATTGTGTGAAAGTTTGCATATAAAACAACGCATTACTATTATAAACGGCACCGTTGCCGTACATCGTCACGGTAAGAACACCGTATACGTGTGAGAGAAGCGTAATAACAAGCTCTCGGTGCTTTGTCGAACCTATACGTTGGATGGTGGAAAACCTTACTTGAATTGTTTGAAAAGACCCGTCGGACGATTTTTTTCCTTTCCTGACCTCATTGGCGACAAACTGTTATGAAGAGGACAATATAAAGCTGTTGCTGCGGTATGACAATGCCTTGATCGTTCTGGTGATGTGGCGATTGTCTTCAAAAACAAATGCAACACTACACATCTTTTAGTAACAAAATCAAAGATAATTCTTCGTAAATATTTGAAGCAAAATAAATGAAGTCTGTCGGAAATTTTCAGTTTTTACTGCCTCTATAATTGCTTCGCTACAAATTAAAAGCAGAAACGCGTGGATTGAGGTTTATAATTATTTACCATACCCCTACATAAAGAACGATGCTTATGTCTTAATTTCAGGGACGAAAGCCGTCCCGGACAATCGCATTTACTCCTCCCGCGTTGTTTTCACCCTCGGCTTCGGATCGGGTGGCTATTTCCTTGCTGAAGATGTTAAAATACTTTCCTAATAAATAGTAAGGGCGGTTTCTTACTTGGGAAGTTATGTTGCTGTTATCGTTCTTGAAATCAGCAAAAATCGTACTTTAGGGACCGGAGTAGGGTAACAAATAGTACACGGATCTCGAGAAGCCCCTCCCACGAGTTTGTCGCTCATGACTTAAATTCGGGTGGTAATTAGAACCCGGGTGTTCCAAAATCACAAAAGATGCACCGTTAATTTTTTTACTTGTAAGGGAGATAGTGATTTCAATATTATTGATTTTACATGCTTTTTCCTTTGTTTGGGTTTTCTTCCTTGATTTACGGGAGCCAGTATTACGTCATAGCTCTATGTCCTACATTAAGGAAGTTGACTTTGTAAAGTTGATGTAGAAAGTAATCGTCGTTGTAAGCATTCTGTCGAGTGTTTCATAAAAAAAATTTTGTACTGTAATCTATACTAGCATTAGTCAATTCTGAGCAGTCTTATACGATCTGACAACGTAAAATATTCAGTACAATACGACCATATTTAAATAGTTTGCGTGTACGTATCCTTTTTTATCGCTTCATGGCTTTGCAACGTTGCCAGCTTTTTATTTAATTAGTCCTTCCCTTTTAGTACCTGATCTAATTTCTCAATATTTATTTAACAGTAGCAATTAAATTATACAGTTGAAATGTTTATAATTTGACTAGCTGCATTATAACATACCAGTATATCATATACTAATTTTTCATAGACGTGGTAAGAACGGTTCTATTTATATTGTCGAAAATATATTTTTTGATGATGTTTATAGACCGTACAATGTATAATAGTCAACAAAACGTCAGATTGAAAGGCTATTATCTTTGGTTCTAGACGATCAAAAAAATTTTTTCGTACATCGTTGTACGCAGAAAGTTTCAAATTATAATTGTGCAAAGCTTAAACAATTTTGTAAGAAAATCCTTTATGCGAGACAACTACCTTAACCACAGCATTATACTTTTTATTACAGTAATCATATTCCGAGTAAAAACTGTTTATCGTATATTATGTGTCATATGTAATCATTGTTACATCGTGACATAACGCTTTAATGATTAATAATTATTTTTCAGCATGAAAGTAACATGAAAAGCAATTGAAAAAACAGCCCAAATTGAAAAATTAAACTGCCATTCTAGGATTTATTTTAACCTATATTGTAACTTTATTATGGGCGAACTATAGCTGAAAGAAGGAACAATGGATTTCTAACTACAAAAAAGTATTAATTTTGCACTGGCAAGTAAAGGAACGACTAACTCAAAGTCATTAAAAGTTTTATAGCTTCCGTTTCTTTTTAGGTAGAGATGTATCTAAGTTTCAGGTTTATTCTTCTTTGAATTTTCATCAGGAAATGCTCGGAGTTTTATTTATTCTTCATAATTTCAGAAATACTTCTTACCTTACTGCAAAAGATGGGTGAAAAGCCGTTGGATTATCCTGAGGCGAAAATTTAGGGAGAGAACCTTGCAATAACGCCAACCGCGCACACAATAATAGTCCAAGCTGAAAGAAAAAAGAAAAACCAAATAATACAATTTATTAAATTTAAGAGGTTTAAGAAATTGTTTTGATATAAAACATTCACTGTTGTTTATATAAACTATCAAAAACGTTTTCCTTTCCATAACTTAGTTTAAGTTCCTAAATGCCTATTTAAAATGTTTTTGATTAACACCCTTAGCATTTTTCCTGAAGTCGTCCACATATATATTTATCTCTATTTTTGAATTCTGGTGATTAGTTCTCTCTAACATTAAAATATAGCAACGCAAATACATTTTTGCTCTGCATCTTTAAACAGTGTGTTCATATGAAGAGTTGATTTGAAAATTTACGTCAAGTTACTCCTCGTTTGACTACCCACTCTATTGGTCCCCACAACTTCATTGTTATATTTTTGTGCAGCTATTTATACTGCTATTTCCTAATAAAAACTACTGTTGCAACTAACAGCCCAACGTTGTACTCCATTGACTGCAGCGCAACCGCTTTTGTTCATCGAAGCTCAGTACCACGAGCAGCTGGGAAGTAAAGAAACGATACATTGGTTGCTTAATAGTACAGCAATTTGGACCTAAAATGTTTGCTGGGAGTTTTCAAAATGGGTACTTTTATAGATTTCGATGTGTTCTTTCAGAACTTCAACTTTGCCACTTCGTATTTTTGCCGCTCCCACTTATTTCATGCTAAAAACATTTATATTCAATACTAGTTGCCCCGACATACTTCGTTCTGTCAAAAGGTATTGGCCTGTCGCAGTCCAATAGAAAAAAACACAAATAAAACGTATTTCAGAGGGATTAATGTATTTATTGATTTACTTATAAAAATAGGTTTTCTATTTCGTACACTGCAAGACTTTAGTAAAACTGTGATGATATTTTCATTGTAATACTGTATGGTATACGATATTTTTTGTTTGATTACGTGGCGCATAAACAAATAAAGCTAACGGTTTTCAAACGCGGGGGCAGGTCACATACAACTGTCCATACGAGAAGCATGGGTTTTCAAGATTAATGGCGCAAACACTCAACGACTGGGATTTATTTATGGTCATTGCCAAAACAAGCCGCAGTGGAAATTGCAGTCGTTTAAATTCAGTCAGTCAGTACGTCAGTTGGTACAATTGGGATGCGGGGTATCACTGCCAGCCATGTACTGCTACAAAGACGCGGTTAGTTGATATTTCTCAATCATAGATTAATATCCATACAGCCTACTCAACTTGAAGACATACCAAAGATAATCCTAACGTACCTTTGTTTTGTTATGATTGACGTCAAATGTTTGATAGCTGGGGACAGATGTTTTAATTTACTCTGTGATTTGTATAGGAAAAGAAAAGTGTGGCTTTTACGTTTCTCTCGGTAATTTTTTCAATTTTTCTCTTCATAAGAACCTTCCTCGGACTTCAAGGAATATTTTAACTCCTGTTTCTGCCTCTAATATGTCACTGACTGAGAAGGTGTCCTACCAACCTATTTCGCCTATTTTTGATTGATTTCTATAGTTCTCTGTTTACCTCTTCTTTCAACTACCTCTTCATTTCTAACCTTATTTATCCACGGTATCCTCATCATTCGATTGTAGCACCATATTTTGAACGATTCTAAACTTTTCTTTTTTGCCGCGCCCACTGTCCATGTTTCGCACCCATATAGTGCCGCGCTCTAAACGTACACCTTTAACAATCATTTTCTACTTTGCGAATTTCTAAAGTAACGGTTTGCGAGTATAGAAGTGACTTCTTTTTATTGAGGGCGATTCGACTGTGCGCTATCCTCTGCTTTATATTCCTACTACTCCTTCCGTCCTAACTTGTCTGACTTCTTGGATACTTATTCATGTACTCCGAAAAGTCCATACATAAAAGAGGTTATCCCCAGGTATTTAAAAAATCAAATGCTGATCCAACATCATTGCTCAAAAGCTTATTTCTTGAATTATACAGTTATAGTAATGTGAAAAGTAAAAAAGTGTGTCTTTTAATAAATAATGATATGCGTCTCACAAAGTCAGCATGTAAAAGTAAAACTATTGCGTTGCTACCATCAACACAAGCAGCAGCACGACTACATTCGTTCCGAACCTATTACCAGTTTCAACAGTGGTATGGGAATGAACAAAATGCAGAGCAATGGGGATGGAAAAGAAACAAGAACGGACTAATTCCTGTTACCACACCCGAGCCCCCAGCTCTTGAAAGCTTGTTAAAACTTATATCTTGCAAATGAAAAAAGGGATGTCAGAAAAAGCCTGTGGTGGCAAAGTTGAAATTGCGAAATTGAAAAGAGCACACCGAAATTTATAAAATTACACATTTTCTAAACTCCTGCTAAACTTTCCAGGTAAAACTACGATCTTACATTCGGTGGTAAATCAAATCAATTAGAATACATACAGGGTGTTCCGTTTGAAAAAACGGACTTACAATTGTTCGAAGTTAACGAAACCCGCCATTAAATATGTAACACCCGGTATGTAATTAACCCACTTTGAAAGTATGGACGGGAAGCTTGAGGGTATACTTATCTCTTGTGAGAATAATGATGCTTCAGCTTTCCTACTGTAAAATAGGCATGCTTTTTCACTGTCTATTGCTCTGTGCTACTTTACAAAAAGAAAACGGTAAATTGTAGAAGTAGGAAAGCCTTATGAATGTCTACCTAGAATCATAAGTAAAATTCAAAACTGTGGTAATATATCGGGTGCTTTATTTAAAGTTAAGAAGTCTAAGTCTAAGTTGTTATCAATTTCGGTATAACCGAAAGTGCTACATATATGTCGTTATTTTAATTCTGGAGAGCATAACCAATAACGCCTTTGTACAAATTTTCAAGTTATAAATCACAGTAGTTTCTGAAATATTCTAATAGGCAGTCATCATAAAACACAGCATAGTACTTGAACGCTGCTGGACTACTATATTTATAATATGCATATGTCAGTCTGTAATTGAAAATGACACCTTAGGTATAGAAATCTAATTTAGGTTTTTAATCTTTTTTATATGGAATTTTGGATTTTTTTGTTTTATTTATATTCATGTAAGGATATATCCTATTCAGATCTGGAATCGAAATAGTAGTTCCTTTTGTGAAGGATATGCATGCCCAAATACAAAAAAAAAGACGTTTCTCACTCTAAAGATCATGTGCATAGTGTTTGAGAGACAGCAAACGAGTTTTACTGGTGGACCTTATCCCCTGAGGCTCTCCAATAGATGCAGACGTCTCTGGTAATGCATTTAAAACAAAGTGACATGGTTTCTCAATGATCTATGCTGATTTATGATAATGCTCGCTTACACCCAGTTTCTGCAACGTAAAATTCATTCGTCTGGGGACAGCTAGATAACCTTCCCAACGGTATAGACGTTACACCAAGCGATCTTAATCTGTTTTAACATTCTTCCGAAGTCACTAGCGAGATCATCAAGGTCAAAGAAGCTATAAGCACGTGGTTTATATTATAGGTGGCATCATTCTACAAGGAAAGGATAAACTCCTGGTGCGAATGATAAGATTCTTTAATGTTGTCGGTAACTCATAAACAAAATAGTAGAATAAAACCCCCCACTTATTTTTTATTGGAGCTGCGTACTTTTAAAAGTTAGTGCGATATCTGACGAGGAAGGGTTCCATCATTAAAAGTTAAGTTAGAGTAACTTTTTCAGTCATAATTTACCCTTCATGAGATGAAAAGAAAATAAAAGCAAATGAGGCTCCTCCTTCAATTATTACCTTTTTCTATGAAGAAAATCATTAATATTTCGTAGAAACAAATCAGAACAATTCAGGTAAATAATACATTAGTTTATTAGCAAAATAGTTGTCAATGAAGAAATTTACTGCCGAGAGTACCACTGGATACAAAAAATTTTGTTTGTAATTAAAATGTAAACCATGAAAATTCAGATGCTGTTTAAAATTATCTAACTAGACAAATACCTCGAAATAGCTCAAAATTAGTTAATGAAACATCAGCAGTTGCTCAATAAACTAATGGATTACTTATCCTAACAGTTCTCATTTGCAAAAACCGAACAAACATTACTACACCAACAAAAATGCTTTACATGAATAGCTTTCATTTATTTTTAATATATAATGACTATTTGGAAGATACTCCTCAGAATTAGCTTATGTTGAATAATCGAGAAGGGCTATCTTTAAAGTTTATCGGAATATCTTATTAAAGGAAAATATTCTAATGTTCATGGGTTAAACAAAATCAACTACTAAGACTGATAACGACAAAAACTATTTATTTACACTAATATTGATATATCACTATTCACTGCGCTATTTATTTCACTGCTATCACTGTCAATTTATTTCTGAATTCACTTCTGCAACGGTCAATTTATTTCTCCTCCTCTCGGCGATCGTCTCTTCCTTTAAATACTCTTTTGTTTACTTTCGGGAGCCTTCTCGAAACATCCGGATAGTTTCAATATTCTTTAAACCGTTTAACTGCTTTTCCAGAACGCAGGTACGACACACACATTTATAAATACGGCGTACATGAAGAAAGGCGCCCGCGGCTAGTCGGCGAATCGATAAGCCATTCACACACACGTGTGCCCAATCGCACAGAAACACACTTGTGCTCGCTATACTGCCCCCTCCTTAAGGATGTTTCGTCCCGAAACATTTTCACTTTCTGTTTCGCAGGATCATGCCGGAATCTGTAGTCCACGCCTGCACGACATCCGGTCCGGGAATAGAAGTAACAGTCCATGGTCTTCTCATGATTGGTTCGATTCGGGTTATTACTGCAAACCAAAATGTCTATTCCAGTACGGCGGAATAGGACTTCGATCATGTTCCGTACGATCCTCCAATCTAGGTTGTCCAGTCCACAACCAAGCTTCAGAATCGCTAGCTTCTGTAGTTTATCCTCCAGAAGGTGTCCGCGGAGTTTCATTACTGCATCCCAAAGGTCTCTATAAGTTGGGTTATCAGAGCATCTTCCTTTAGTTACTAGGCAATAGATAT